AATATTTGCTTTATATCCTTGTTAGGACTTCTTTTTCTTATCTGAAAATACAACCAAATACTTATAATATTAATAAGAAATAAGAAAAAAATGTTTTTGATTATATTTTAGAACCATTGAAGATCCTGCATCCAGGTGTATATAAACTTTCTTAAGAGAAATAATGTATTTCCATAGGTACTAACGAAGTGTTAGGAAAAAGAAACTATTGATATACAATAGTTAAAGATTATACAGCGGACGTCGCTTGTAAGACTCACGAATATAAAGTTCTGTCTCTTAGTAGACTCAAAATCGTATGGGACGATCAGGACGTATCCAATTACATTATAAAAAATTCGGTTATAAGGTTTACCATTTCGTTTATAAGACTCAAATTTCGTAAAAAAATATGAAGAAAAATAAACATTTTTGGTTAAAATTTAGAAATTAATTTGTTTTTAAAAATAACATATTTTTATTGATTATTATTGGTTTTGATTCATGCTCTATAATGTGTGTACCTATGTACAATTGGTGATCATCATTTTTTCATTTATTCACTAATAAGTAATTTATAATAAATATGTATTAAAGTAGGTAGCTTAAAATAAAAGCTAGGTATGTAATTAAATAAAACTCATGAGTATTTTGTGTTTTTTTTTCACTTTTTCTATAAGATTCATTTGGTTATAAAACCTCGCTTTATGTTGGCCCCAAAGTGTGTCACATTTATGTGTGACTTATACCATTAAATTTATATATACAATACCTTATGCAAAGACTTTTTCAAAACATTTAGATTTATTTCTTGCTATTGACTATTTATTCCATAAACCTATAATTCACATAGCTCTACAGTAAATCAGTCGGTATTAATTCAAAAATTAATAACAATAATAATATACACGATATAAAATAATCTATAAAAGCCAATGCATCACCTTTCATATAAACCATAATACTATCACACTTAAATTTTCTCCAATATTATCACAAATAAAATATACATAAAATCTCTATTGAATATCCCAGATACTCATACTATTGAATACCCTTTCTATAATAACATTTTTTATAAAACACTAGCAGATGTTTTTGATGAATTAGATAATATAAAATTAAATTTGTCAACAGGTCCTGATTACCGGTTAGTTATATTTTTATATGAATGCTCTTTTGTTCTTGCGCCTTATATACATTTTATTTTTAACCAATTACTAAAATCTGATAAATATCCTAAAATTTGGAAAACTGTATTTATTTCCCCAATTTTCAAGAGACTGAACGTTCATCTTTTGTAATTTATTACCATCCAATTTCAAAAATGTCTATACTTTCAAAAATAATAAGTGCAAATTTTAATTTAATGAATAGTTTTTCTTATGTAACACTCGATATGGTTTTAGTAAAGGACATTGTACTATAATTAATTTAGTCATATTAAAATACAATATTATTGAGCCTTTTTTAGCAATATTCCAATTGGAGGTACCCCGACAAAATATCACCGGTAAAATATTGTGAAATAATTATATCGTAAAGAAATAATACGGCCGTACATTATTATCGCGTCTGTATATTGCATTTGACTTGATCTTATCTAATCATATTAAAAGTATAGTAGGAAATCCAAATACGCCAAATAAAAAGAACAAGACAGTCAGTTGGGCTGAACGAGTAAAGAAAATAGTGGCAGATTGTCATAATCGAGAGTTTGAAGATTATCTTCAAGGTATTTTATTGAATATAGGTATACTTCCAATAATTAATATACATACTTAATTTTTTTATACTATATATTAATAATAATACTAATACTAATACTTATATCAATTTTATTAAATTATGCATATTTTTATCAATTTTACTATATGTATATCAATATAACAATATTATATGCTTGAAATATATTATTTATTTATAATTAAATTACTGCTATATTTCATGCTGGCTATGTATACTGGCGATATTTATTCCATGTGATATAATGGTTTCGCGATATTTTAGTTGCGATAATTTGGTCACGCTATATTTTTCCGGTTATATTTTGTCGTGATTCCCAATTGGATACGTTTTTTACTGATTTTGAAAAAACTTTTAATAGTGTGGATCATTTTCACTTATACATAACCTAAAACAATTGAATTCTGCAACCCACGAATATGGGCTACTTATTGGATTAGTAAAATTATATTTTACTGACTTAGAGACTACGCGTTTGATTCTAAACAATGTCTTAATGGTCATATTTATAAGATAACTAATATAGCTTTTCTAAATCTTAGTTTCATTACACGTACTTGTTTCACTATATATTTTAATAATTTATTATATAATACTGTAAATATTACACTGCATTCTGAATTCGTATCTGAAGATTGATAATTTTCGATGTTAACTATCTGTTCTTGTTCCAGAAAATTGACACGTCTTGTTGGTTTGTTTGAGAATCAGTATTTTCAATAATATTATAATAATAATAATTTTTTAATGTTCAGTAATAATAAAAATAAATACGATAAGATTAAAGATTAGCTATATAAAACATAGTAAAGTCGGTGTCCAAATAACGAAAATTATGGCATTACAAGTGCATAGTTTAATATTGGTTATTTGGTCACACTACTCAACGGCGGTTCTTACCCACTACCACAGATATAGATAATAAACTAGATTGCTAACTGTGATAAAAAAGTGAAGYCAGATACTAATCAAGCCRCCATCTTTAAAAAGGGCACCGCAACAATATTACTAATATTAGTGATGAGTACTTTCATTTAATTTTGATGAACTAATTCATGTGACAACAATATTATACTAAAGAAATTAAAAATATTATYTATTTTACAAAATTTTAGATTAAATAACGAAGTAGTTCCTAGCATAGGCCTTACTAGGGGGGTTTAGAGCGGCTTAGACCCCCTAAATATTTTCATAGCCCCCTTTGATAAAAAAATATTGAATCTCAGTATTTTGTGAATTTTGTRATAAATTATTTATAAAATTTAATCATCTATCTAAATATCAATATTTAAACAAAATAATTATCTAGTTTGAAAATTATTTGTTATTCAGTTATTTTTTATTAACTATAGAAAGTGGTTTTACCACATCAGTGTATTTTCGTCCATAGCTCTATCGGCTAATTGATTCTGTTGTAAGAAACCTTAAATATGGATTTTTCAAAGAGTAAACTACTCATGGCATGCTCTGTTGAATGTTTTATTAAAATGGATTTTGTTGAAAGTTCATACGAGTTTACAAATCTATAATAAATATAAATATAATTACAAGGTTAATTTTACATTTTTTAATAATATTTTTTTCTCAATAAATTTATTGTAATTTTTATTGTTTTAGGTCTTAGGATGTTTTCATAATAGATATTCATGCTTTAAAATCAGAAATKACTGTAGCAAGAAACTGCATGATTACTATAATACTTGATTTTGATATTAATGATATTAGCAAAGTGATTGAAAAACATGTTTATCCCAATCTTTATAAGTTGTTACATGTAGCAATAAGTATTCYCATAAGTTCAACCACTTACGAAAGATCTTTTACTTCTATGAGACGTATCAAAAATTGGTTACGAACCAGTATAGGTACTACAAGATCGTTTCACAATTTGTTAATATGTTTATAGGTAGGTAGGTACTTTAAATAACATGAATGTTATACTTGATATTACTAACAGTAACATTGTGATTAAATTAATATTTGATATATTATATTGTCTTAACTACATTATGCATATTGTGATTTGTTTGTTAGTTACACAATAAATTATAAATTATATTTTATGGTGATTGGTGGTACATTAAATGAAAGACTCAAGAGACAGGCACATTATTAGTAGCAGGTAAATTGGTTGTCAACTGGGTGAGGTTGTTAATCAATTATATGTGAAATATGTATTTTGTGAATCGTTTTTTATTTATATACATCAATGTTATAAATGTTTATTTATTAATAACGAAAATATATTTGTGTTGTGTTTTATGTTTTGTTGTACCTTTTATATTAACATCCATGTTAGGTACCTATGTTTCATGCCTTAATTGAGTTATTTAGTATTTATAGTATGTTTAGTAAATTTAAATAACAACTTGAAGGAACAAGATGCATAATATAAAATATATATTGTAATTTAAAATAATATATTAATATAACATGGTTCTCTTGTGTTATAATTGTTCAGCTGCCCTTTTTAAAGATGGTGGACTACCGGCTCGGTGGCTTCAAATTTCCCCATTGCCGATAACAACAGTTAGCAATCTAGTTTATTATCTATATCTGTGCCCACCACCACCCTCATATCAATCCTATGGGGGCTAACAGCTCGGCTGCCAGCGGCCACCGATAGCGCTTCATAGTGGCCATCAGCTTTTAATTGTTGCCGATTTTTTTCCTAGCACGGTCTATCTGTATATTATATAATCAATGATGTAGCAAACCAGCAATCAGAATATCCTATTCAACAATCACTAGATTACAATCTAATTACATCAAATCATCTATCAAACATAAAATGTATAATAACCTCGTGGTAAAAATCTCGGTATTCCATTCCTTCACAAATAAACTTATCTAACTAAGAAAAATATAAAAAATAGATATTCCCTGAGCACATTAACAGCTTCCAAAAAGTTGCCATTATAAGAATTAGATTTGACCAATCGTTCGTCACTTATCTTTTCTCATTTACAAAATTCCTTCATCCAAATGCGAAAAATATCAGACCAAATTCTCCATAAAATACATAATTCAAGAATTCTCAAAATGTCTGGATATACGTAAAAGTCATTCTATTTCTTTGGACATGGAAGAAGCATAAAACGAAATCAACGTCATCAAAATTATCACACTCTTAAACAATAAAAAGCTTACAAATAAGTTCTGATATTGTACAAATCTAATACCTATATCTTTTAAGTATTTCAGGTCAAAATGTCTTCGATTTAAAATGTCTCTAATAGAAATATCTCAAATGAAAATATTTTAATAATCCATCTTTAAGAATCATCATTAACTGTATTAATCATAAAGGCTGACGGATAACCTTCGTTCAGAATCGTATGAAATGATTTATCTTTGAAATTAAAATTTAACTTTAACACACATTACTGTGATTATAATTTTCATACCTACTGTATAGCAAAATGGTTATTTTATTGTTATTATACGTATTGTAAAATTATTACCGATCACCAACTTCGCGAGTTTCAAAATCATGGGTTTGTTTCGTGTTTCGATTTTGGCTAGCATATTTTCCAAAATCAGCGTGTAACTATCTTCTTTGTAATTCCAAAAAATTTAAATTACACCGTCTTAAAACAGTTCAGCTAACATCACAATTCATTATGAAAAAACTTACTAAGTTGATCTGGAGTTCCGGACGAACGTTTCACTACTTTTATCGATTTAACATGATTTACTGCGATTTGGTCGAAGAATATATACTCTTGTTCTCTTTGCGAATCCTGGATGCTAGTCATCGTTGATGAATTTTTCCACAAGTTTTCTCTAAAAACCACATGCATTTAAGAATGCAAAAATTTAATTCTATTATAGAACTTTAGTATGTGTATGTTAAAGAAATAGTGGAACGGCTCCACTCACGCAAATACAAGTCATCGACTTGGCGTTGCGCTTATGAATGGTAAACAATTAATGCTCATTTGTATGACTGTACTCTTTGTCCATCCTACCGATTCACCTAATAATGCAACAATATTTCAAAGTACTGATCTAAATTCGTTAGCGTGTCTACCAGAGAACAATAAATCAATATTTTAATTGAAAAAATCGATGTTTGAAAATTACTAAATTTTAAAAAATTCAAACAAAATTTATAGGAATTGAGTGGGGCGGTTAATATTTGGATAATTGAAGTGATCGATCTCAAGTAAACATAATAAAGAGTTCAAGCCAGTTTTCAAAAGTATTATCACGTTACTTGATCGTTTAGTATGATTGGTAAAAACTGGTTACCACTAAACCCCTTAAAACTGAAAAATATACAATGAATATTTGTTTCATAGGGATTACGTTTTATTATGATTATTTTTCAAACAATTGTATTGTTTATTTTCGTTTGTAAACAAACTATACAATAACTAATAACATTAGGTACATAATAATTAATCATGTTCAACTTTGTTGGTGTGCCCAAAAATACTAACAAATATACAAAAATGTACAGTAAATTTAATGAAAAATATATTAGCTCAATAATTTAAAATAAATTAATTTCATTAAGATGAATAGTTCTAATTACGCTTGCGCCATGACTTATAAAGGCTTGTTGTTTTTCATACGTATATTATTAAATCAACTCTTTTACCTAAATAAATCGAAATATTACTCACAGATAACTATCACTGACATTTCAAGATTAAAACTGTTTACAAATATTGTAATTATTATGTGGTTAAACAAGATTTCTTTGGATTCAATTGGAAAGTTTTGATTTTGGAAAAATAGTTTGAATTTCTAATTTTTTATGCGATTTACCGGTGGAAAAAGACATTTAGTGTGTACCGATGCTGAACTGAGGTATTTAGATAATTCAATCTTCCATGATTGTTTCAAATAAATTTGCCCCTTACTAGTTACTGTTCAAAACAACTTTTAATAGAGGGTTAAAATCATTTGTGAATTATAACCATACACACTATTATAGTATGATTCAGAAATAATATAATTTTCAGTATTTAGGTAGGTACACTATTTTCTTTACCATCACTAAATTGCCATTATATATAATATATAATAATAATATCAAATATGGGTAGGTACTGGTTTATAGAAATTTTTGCGTTGATTAAATTTTCATTTGAAATTTGAGAATTGACGTCTGCATTTTTTTTGACATTCATAGAACTAACTGAAATCTTTGAGGAATTAACGATCGTTTCCTTATTGTTGATGTTTGTCCACTTCTTGAATTCAACAAGATTTTTTTCTCTCCCTACATAAACATAAAATGTAAAAAAAAAAAAAATAATGGGAAAATGTAAAAATAAACAGTTGGCACGTTTTAAATTTATATAATTTAATATGATTTTAATTTGCTAACTTTTATTTAAATCTTTCCATTTTTTTAGTTTTTTCTGACTGATTTTAATGTTACATCCAAATGAAATTATTGGTTGGTGTGTATAATCATTGATCCCTAATGACAATTTTAACCACCAATGTTGATAATTTGGTCTTTTTATTCCTGTAAAATAATATAAAGTTTTATCAATAGGTCCTCAATAAAATATGTTAGTATATATAATATGTATTTATAGATTGTTATTATTATTAATAGGTGCAATCAAAGATGTTATTTTTTTTTTTGTATTTAGACATAAGTTTTGTTATTGACTAGTATTGTTGGGTAAGATTGCTATCATTTCTAAAGGTATTATAGTGGTTATGACTTGTTGGATAACGGATGAACACATGGTGATGCTAAATTGCCTATACAAAACGCCGTAACATTATCGTATGATACTAAAATTATTGAAATGCTCGTTAAAACATAATACGTTAAAACGTTATACTAACTGCAATAAAAAAAGAAATAGTTTAGATACGTAGTTTAAACTAGACTTAAAAATTAAATTTGTAGACTAACTTTTTATAACTATTTTGATATTTTCCAACTTTAGACATCAATAAATCATTGGTGTTGACAAAATAAAATAAAAATATGGAATTCGAGAAACATTAATCACGCACCTATGTATAATGTATATTAACTATAAATATTCTGCATAAATTGTACGTATTTGTGTAATTGGTCTAGAAATATTATAATTAGACGTGCCCATACACGCCTCTAATCTCTTAGAATGATAGAGGCCAGCTTCGAAGTTTTATCCTTATTAAATTTAATATAATGATATCATCTACAATATTTCATATTTACCAGGTTCCAAATTGACTAATTTCATAATTTTTGCTTCATGATTCATCGCAGGTGGGTGTTCAACAGTCAAATCCAGGTTATTACACATCAATTTCACGATACGTCCAGAATATATATTTCCCTTATTTGGAACATGCATTCGGAATTTACACCCCTAAAATAAAATAAAAAATTATTCTTAMTTAACATAAAACATTGAAATAAAATGAAATAAAATAATGATCTTACGAAAGGATTTTTTACTAGTTCAAATCGGAAAGCTCTTTCACCACAACATGGATAACGTCCTGTATCCAAATATAATAAAATTATTTATTTATTTTAATTTATTAACAATACTAATTATAACTAATGAGGCAGAATATTAATTGGTAGGGACTTACTTCCCTAAAGAAATGTTTTGTGTGCACTACTGAATCTTAATAAAAATAAAAAAAATAAAAAAAATAAAAAAAATGCAGTGGTAATATTGTTCTAAATAGTATTTTTTTTCCAACTAATAATAATTATGTTCAGTGTGTGTAAAAAATTGAGGGAGGTTCTAGTTTTTCTATGATTCACTAGTATTACTTAATGCACAACAAATAATTTAAATACAACCAGTTTATTAATACATAATTAACAAATTGTGTATAGTAAACATGTTTGTTATATTGTAATCTTTAGTATTCGAGGTACATATAACAATATTATAATATAAATAAGCAAAAAAAATACATATATAAAACCGATCGTCTGTCGAGCATATAATATTATATCAACCCGTGTACTTATTATAACCAAACGCGAATAATTCATGCCGCATAATACATAAAAGGCAACAAAATGGCTCCAGTTAATCAATTTGGTATTATTAATTAGATAAAATTTAACAAATGTTCGTATTTATAAATATTTTATGCAGGGTGTTGCTTTGATGTGAATTGAACATCAATGAGGATTGTAAACTCTACAAAAAAAGGAGATAATAGTGTACATTACAAGTAATTCGTTTTGAGTTTTACATTGATAATAATAATATTATTTAAATTATTCTTAAATAGCGAAAATCAATTAATGTCTACGAATTTTACTGATTAAACATAATATAACGCAAAAAAATAAGATTGGGTACCTATTTAAGTTCAAGTCAGTTAGGAAGAGCCTCGAGTTCTATAATACGAGTATGATTATATCAACATCAACCACGATGGTAAATCATAGTCGACTATCAATTTATATAGAAGAATATCCTTAAATTTATGTAGTTGTATTATTATATTTTTCTTTTTCTTGTCTATTACTAAATTAAAAAAAAACTGTTATTTCATTTATGCTTGAAGGGTTAAATTATATTTTCAGTTAATTATTATAGTTTTATTCATTATTCAAACCATGTATAATAGGTACATATTAAAAAAAAAAATATTTGAATTGAGTACAAATTTCACACTTAATTTCAACCAGGGGTGTCTTTGGTACTTGATAAAAATGAGRKGACGTGGAGTTTTCCATTTTTTATATACATATATCTTATAAAACAAATCATTTAATAAATATAAATATGTTTACGCTCATATATACATACTTATATTTTGAAAAACGTATAATTAAATTGCTTGTCACAATGTATAAGACGTAGGTATATTATATTCTAATAAAAAATATGTTATTCGTTATACCTATGGGTTGCTCCAAGCCTAAGTTTCCAATCGGAAAATATTCAGGGCTTTCCGGATGGTACTGGCACATTGCTGAGTTTCTCACCGGATACTGAAATTTACACGTGGTGCAAGTTAAGAAATGACATTCCGACCATATTTGCCAGTACGTTTTTTCCCAGCTTCCGGTCTTGTTTGCTAGGGAATGGATATATTTTGTCAAATCCAGTTTTTCGCATCTAATGACATTTTCAACACAGCTTTTCATTCAGTGATTATAATTGCGGGTTGAAGAGGGCCGGATTCGACTGATAGTTTCGCGGTGGCACTTGCCCCGTGCATAGATAAAATAATGTATAATTGTTAGTTTGTTTAGCAAACGAAAAAAATTTTAGTTACGGTTGATACCGGACTTGTTACCGTATCGGCGGTTTCAGCAGAAGTATAAAAAGCGTGTCAATGGGGAAAAATACGTATGAGAACGATTCTTTCACCGGAATTGATTTCAAAATATTATTATTTGTTTGTATTTTTAAGATGGACGAGTATAAAGCTGATACACTTATTATAACAAATAACATAATAATATTCTTAAAGGTCTGAAACTGTACGACGAATATACATGTAAATTGTATGAATAAATATCTCAAAAATCGGCTATCGGGCGTAACGACATATATGCAAACAGTATGCGTTAATCATACAGACATCTACTGTAGAGACTAGAAACCATGTCGACTGAGATTTTTAATTTCCAATTTATGATTTTTTACATTCCTGTCTTCACTGCGGTTGTCGTTCGTCGACGCGCAGTACGGCCAGGATATTATTATTTATAAAATATTTATGGGCAAGTTGGACTATTATTTTATATTCACCAGCKTTCAAATATGTATCGGTTTGTTGATTGCAATTAATGCAATAATATTATTATGTTTTAGCCAATTGTATTTTCGTGTCCACGATACGTATATTATAATTATTAATAATAATTATGCTGTGTATTGTAATATGTATATAGGCACCATATTATATCTTAAATCGTTTTTGTTTTTTATTTAAGTTATAATTTTTTAATGGTCTTATATAATTATAGTATGTAGTTACATTTACTAAAAAAATAAATCTGAATTTGAGCAGACTATCATGGCGTAGTGCATGCGATAGTCGAAATCCGGCCCCACTCGGACCCTCTCACAGCCGAAGTGATTTTATTTTACTATATTTGTAAGTTGTAACACCAACACATACAAACCCCCACACACCCACACACACATACAGAGGCACTCTTTTCGCCTCCTCCCGCCGTAAGATTACTTAGAGTGTACGTAGATCACGGTACCGTCTTGCTGCACGATAATCTCCGACACCTTACACGGGATTTGGGAAATGTTCTTTGGCAGCAGCATCATCTGACAGTCATGGCAACTGCATGGACACGAAAACGGTGATGGTTGATTTGAAATGTAAAGAAAAAAAACAGACCATGATAAAAAATAATATTATATAATATGTAAAATTGTAAGATTATTTTCGCGGATCGACTGTTAGAGCATATATTATCATGTTATGTAAAAAGCGTCATGAGCAATGGCGACGTGAATATTTTTCTTCCTATGAAGCGACTATTTAAAATTAGTAAAACGATTAAAGATATTATACTTTAGTTGTACAATTGATTTGTAAAATAATACAGATTTGTGGCGTTTTCTCGTTTAGGTTTTCAAATGTTTGTAGAACTTATGATTAGTGATTTTAGCAAAAAATTTCGATAACTAGATCGGTTTTTATAGGTATATATTTATCTACATTATCACAATATTATAGACAAAACCAAGGTACATAGTACACTACGTAAATTGTTTGAATTTTTTTCACCAGGAGTGCTAAGTTTAGTTCTACAAGTATTTTAATAACTAATCAGTAAATTTTTCCAGTGTTAATGTGTGGATGGTTAACGCCTACACCATCCCCACCACCATATCCAGTTCGTAAAAGTACTTAAATTTATGTTCAAGTTATAAACGAGGCTATTATCAATATACCCACCCCCACTTTTACATGATATAGGAAGTGGTTGATTTTTGAAATAGCGTTTCATGCCACCACTGCTGAGGTCGTGTGCCGTTTATATGAACTCACTACACAGCATTGGCGTAAGACTCGAAATGTCCGTACTCGGCGTTCGGATGTTTTTCGAGCAGGTCATTTATGAGGTTTGTGTATGAAAGTTGAGTTCGGTTCTTGCGTAACGGATGAGTGTTATTTGTGTCGGTATCGTCGGTAGAACTGCTGGAAGTGTCATCGTCATCATTGTTCCTATAATAAATAGGTAATATCAGTATATCACACAACGTTAACTGACAAATAATAAAATAAAACAATGATATATTATATTATACATAAAATATTTTCTTGAGGGCTTAAAATTGAATTACAAATTTTCGATTTTAATTTCAATTATTTCGCTTACCTATTGTAAATTATTAGTTTTGTTTTTAAATTTATTATCAATTTCAATACCTATACATTTTAAATATAAATATTTATCAACAAAAATGTTCATTTTTAATAAATCTTTTGAAAAAGATTTTTAATGCTGTTTTTAGTAATATTTAAGATCGTAATTTGACCATGTCAAACATTGGTTTAAATTTTAATTTCATAAAAAATTAACTTCAACAAATTAATGTTTTWAAAAAAATATTGCCTTTATTTTTTTGTATTTGAGAAAAAACTCCTTGGATCTAAAAGGAAGCTCGAATTCGACTTTCAAGACTTATTGTATACAAATGTTATTAACATTTTATAAATTATTAGAAGTACAAAMTAATCTTGCAAATCTGATTTGGATTAAWTTTTATGATAAACGTTTGGACTTCAAACGCTCATAAAAAAAATTATCGTCCACATGATATTTTAATATTTTTTAATTACAATTTAATACATCTTATATAGTAMATTTTTAAGCTGTTTGATGAAATCTTAGCTTTTTATCATCACTTAAATACTTGAATGTATTCTTATTAGGTATCTATGTAATAATCATATCCTAATCTCATCGTTAGAACAGTACCTAACAACCTAACATACTGTGATTATTCTTTAATATCGAACAAAGATGTTGAACGTAGATGTTCATACGTAAATTAATTTATAGAATAATATCTATTTAATGTGTATATTAACTAGTAGTAGGTTTATTGTTTAATATTCTGAATATAAAGTAAATAAATTGTATTCAATACCTACATTAGACGATTCATCGAGTCAATAAATGTTTCTGTATCCACCATATCCATACTCCATTTTTTCGGAAAATCCTTCATTTCATCAAAAATTTTGAAAATTTATTCAGCTATAAAAATTTTGGGTTAAAAACAACATTTTAACAACGATTTTTTTTTTAAAAATATTGTTTAGTTGCCATGCGAATATAAAGCTACTCATAAATTAAACACATTTATTTGAAATATAGTAATAATAATAAATATTATTATAGCTAAGCAATTTTACTCAGTGGTTCATAAAACATGTATTGTCACTTAAAAAGTAAAAGTAAATTAAATGTAAAAAAAAAAAAAATGAAATGGAAATTATAGCGTAAGCAATATAAGCATCGTTATTTCAAAGTATGTGGTTAGCATAGTATTGCGTGAAATTATACAAAATTCATTTATTATGTGTCAAACGTCTAAATTAAAACTACCTTGTAGGTTAAGAGTTTGAAATAGTGTAATTTATTAAATGGAATTCTGAGAGAAATATTTGGTATCAATCATAAGTCTGTGAGTTAAATTGAATTATTAGCCAACTTTGTCACAACAAAATTAGTTTAATGTCAATAAATTAATTTTAGAATTTTAACTATTATCATTCTAAGTTACAACTTATAAATATGTTGTATCTACCTATCAACTAGGTAGAATAAAATTTAATTTGGACACTATTTGAATTATTAATGTGCAATAACAAATAGTGATGTGRCTGTAATATATAACACACCTATAGTTGTTTTGGTTGATTTAATGAAATACATACATAACTAAAGAAATGTGTAAATAATGATATTTTTAAGCGATACTATTCTTAAATATAAATAAATACACTCATATAGTACGGTCAAGCATATTATTTGACAAAACTTTAAAGAAAAAAGAGTTCTTTTATATAATATGTATAAAAAATATAAATAAAAATCAATATTATTGATATTGAACARTATGTCAAACAAACAGCAAGTGTTTTGAAAATAACTATTTTAATTGTTCACATTAATTATCAAATTTACGATTCATTTAAGTCTACATGTTACTGATTTCTTAAATCACAGTCATATTAAATAATGATATAGCATTGTAATTAGGAATAGTATTATGTTTAATGAGTATAATAATGCATATATTATTATCCACAGGTAATTAATTTAACAATGAGAGAACGCRTTTAACATGTTRTTATTCTATCGATTCTATCTTTAAACATTAAAGTTGAGTACAACAAAAAACTCTTTTAACGAATAGTTAATAATGCGCATTTAAAGGATCGTCTTTTTTGATTTTGACTGCAGTTGTAGGTAATAATAACGATAATGAGCAACCTAAACTTAGATTATGTAGCAGATGAATTAAATACCAAACTTATGTATTTTGAGCTTATATTTTCGGGGGAACGTGRATGAAAGTAAAATTTGAAATGTAATTAAAATACGAATATAATGTTACAACTATTTATTTTTTTTGTTTTTCCCWGGAGTTTAAAAATGCGTCATCGATATTGCTATACTTGAATCTTACCGATTAAAGTACGTATTTGAGTGGAAGGATAACGGGTTCACATTTTATTCATTGCGTAATATTGAATACACGAAAATAACGTTTACAATTTGAATTATAATATATAATATAATAATAATAATATATTATTTTATTATTTTGTCATACAAATATTTGTAATAATTTATAATGATCAATATAATATAGTAATTAATAAACGCAAAGTATAACCAAACCGTGCACAAAGCGAATATATTTTATTTCAATACAATTTGGTTATAATAGAGTATAAATCAAACCAGAACAATAAAATCTATTTTACGACAATAACACTTTGACAAAAATATAAAAACAATAATATCATATAGATTTTTATTTTTAATAACAAACATTAACACGTTTAACTCGTCTCTGAGGGAAAAAGAAGCGGGGAGAAGAACCACGGATTATTATGGTTAACAGTTGACTAATAATTAAAATAGATATTAATGATTATGATAGTTTTCGATTAACACTTGGTTGGACTTATCTACAACAATATAATGGTATGTTAATATAAACAAGTCTAGACATTAGTTGATAATTTATTTTCTGAATAATMTCGTTAATTAAATACTGCGAATAATTAAAAAATATTATGTATTATTTGGTCACATATAGATAATGATAAGTTTATAGTAAAAACAAAAAAAGGATTAAAATATTAGTCATCGATTGAGTTACTGGTAACGTTAAAAAAGATTACTAAACATTCATATCTAGATATAATCTATGGAAACAACATTAACAAGTTTCATAGATTTTCATTATTACGATAATCTGATTAAAAAAAAAATGAAAATGTCAATGCTGATCCTTTTATGTATAGATATAAGATATAATATATATATAATATCGTGTGTGTTTTCAAAAGTGCGCACACATATTCCAGGTCTTCTTTTACTTGTGTATACGTAGGTAAAAGTGAGTAGGTAGCTAAAAAGTTTTGTGTAACGCTATATATTATATATAAACCTATGTATATARATAAGTACTTATATATATATATGTGTACGAATGATAATAGCAATTTGTTGGGGTAAAAAGGTTCGTTATCGTGTAATAACACTGTAGTGGGTAGTTTTGTGAATGCAATGTTGAATGCTGTTTTGGAAAAATTCATTTTGACTGGACTAGGTTCAAAAATTCTTCGCGTGTCTTTGAGTCGTCTCTGAACACTCCCAACATGGTAGACGTGACGGTTTTGCTGTTTATCTTTTGAACGCCTCTCATGACCATGCACATGTGACTGATGAAATATATAGAGAAAAAAAATAATAATTATCACGTAATTCTTAACCAGGGTACCTGTTCTATTATGCGCTTGGCTATTGGCAATGTCTACATTATTGTTATAATAAGTGCGGACTACAGCAGACGTTATTATAATGGACTGGCGTCAAGATAATATAGGCTTTGGATGTATAAAGCGGAAAAATTGGGTATCAAATGTCTTGTACTTTACTCTTGTACCGAACGTATAAAAAATCTGAGTGTTTTGAACACCACCACCAGCAGCATAATTTTAGAATTATTGTATTTTTTTTWAATAAATAGGTTCCTCATTTTATTGCTTTAGTTCAATCTTTCAAATTATAATTAATTTTTTTTATGGTTTTCGATGTTTTCGGTGAATTGATATGTTGCACTATGCCAGCCCACTTTTTGTTTTTAAAACAACCAACGGCGATACTATATTACCGTCTATTCGTATTAGTATACAAAATAGATATAGGCAGTTTGAAATTAACCCTTTTATCGAAATGAGTGGCTTTCTCTTAAAAATATTTTTTCAATTTATTATCTAATATAATGATGTTTTACGTATTTATAACGTTATACGTACTTTTGTTGTTCAAATGATAACTACAATTTTATGATTTATTTATTTATTTGAAACAGTTTTAAAAGCTCATACCAAGTATTTTTTAGTATTATTATTTTTTAATGTTATAATTTAAGGAATATGTCACATTAATTAAACGCCAAAGCATGTTTTTTATATTAACAATAACAGGAATGAAATTTAGTATTTAGATTTAGTATATACACAGTTAATATTATTATATAGTGTGGTATTGACGGTATTGTGGTGGTAGTAACAATAGTTATAATAACTTAAGACAATTGAATACCACTTAAACCTATTATTTAAAATTCAATAAACTTTCAATGGTTATGGTAAAACACGTATTTGACGACTTGTGGAATTCTTATTTTTATAGCTCGAAAATTTATGGAAATTGTTAAAATATTTTTTTTTGGTAAATTTAATTGTTAAATTTAATCTTGCTAATTACTAAATGCTGAAACCTTAATAACTTTCACAACAACTATACGACATAGTGTAAATATTATARGCATTTAAGTAGAAAAGCATTTAAAGCTTAATTTTATTCCACGAAGCACAATAAATGTGTTTAACTATTCATTAAACTAGGGTGGCCATACGCCACGTTTAAAACAGGATTGTCTCTTTTTTTATCATCACATCCCGTTGTCCCAACAAACATAAAACGGGACGCTTTTTGTCCCGTTTTTTATAGATGATCTTGTTTTAATTCTGTTATCTCCGTATAATAGTATTATTATGTGTAAAAAAAATTAATCAAAGTAATAAATACAAAACAATATAATATATAACTACAGTTTAAAATTTGAAAGTTATTAAATATAAGAGTTTTCGTGAAATGATTGAACAAAAACAAATCCAAGTAAGACGTGTTACGTTAAAATATTAATTTTACTCAACATTATTTAAATTTTATAATTAATTTAATATATTAATTTAAAAAAATATTAGATTTGTATCTACCTTAAACTCTTTTTCCAGTTTTTTTCCAATATAAAAATGGTCACTCTATATTATATTTACTGTTGCTTTGTATATTATAATGCCATGATATAATTGTTTAAGCATTTTATCTAAAGGTTAATTTTTTAATTTTAAAATCAATTAGTAATGTACACTTATAGATTTATTTAGATGTAAATTGTACGAGTCGCGGAAGCAATGCTAAAGCAGTTCTCGCGGTGTCGTCGACTTCAAACAGAAAAAAAAAAGATGTAAATTGTACGTACATTTTTTTTCAGTAATTTACCGTGAAAAAATTACGTAAGTTTTATTTATTTAGTATCATTATAGGTTTAATAACGATCTCGAAAATATCTATCCTTTCATATTTAATAAATGCATAGTTACGTTATGGCTTATTTTGATATTCTGTGTATCAAATATGTAGGTTTCTATATATGGTGCTTTTTGTTAATTGATTGAAAATAATCAGAAAAACATCTGTATTCTACATATTATGATTGTAGTTATTAAAAAAAGATTTTAACTAAGTCAATTATGATAACAAGATGTTTTTAACTTTGTATAATGTATTGGTTTAATGGTTTGGTATTTCTTTCCAGATATTATAAGTAAGAATTAAATGATATTAATGTAATAAAAAGTCAGATTTATGTTACAGGAACATGTGTGACTGTGTGAGTACCAGTTTAAAAATGATTAATTTCATTTTATCTATGATGAACATAATATAAATACATTTGATATGAAAATCAGAAATCAGAATTATATAATATGACTGTTTTTGTTCTCATAACTTAAAATGTTTTACCTATAACTTCTTTTACATTGTAATATTGTAAATATTAAACTCGTTAAACGTTTAATTTTAGAGGACATTATTTTTTTGGTATAAAAATAGATTTATTAAAAAATCAATACATTCATATATCTGTAAATTTAGCAGGACTACATATTTGTATTAATTCAAGTAAATTAACCTTTAAATTTAATTGATTGACTTAGATTTTACTACGAAGAAACGAGCAAAAGGTGTGATACAGCTTTTAATACTCTCTATTTTATTTTTAAACATCGCACAACAAGTGTAATTTCAACAGTTGATGATCGTGAATTGTAGCAATAAATGTTTGTTTCCATGTATTATTAATCAACGTGTAAGTCCTGAGACTAAATCCTAACACTATTAACTATTATGACTTGTAATTGAAAATACTTTGCCACATTTATAAAGTTATAAGAATGTTACCATAGACAAAAGTTTTTCGATAAAAAAATTTAACTTACACTCCCTCTATGATCACGGCAACTCCAGCAGGTTGGATCGCTTGGGTGACAGCCACAGCAATCTGTTTAGTCAGTCGCTCTTGAACTAAATCACAGACACAAAAAAWATATATATATGATTATTCAATTTATAAATTTATAATAAATTGCATGGTATGAATTGTGTCAAGCAACATAACATTTTTCCCAATTAAATTTTAATTAAATAAAAAATGTTAATCCGTTGACTACGTTTATCGGTTGGTTTTTTTTATATTAATAATAAATCTAACAAGAAATGGTGTTCCGTGGTTTGTTAGGTAGTCTAGTTATACCTATATCTATATATAAATTCATAAGTATTATATTTTAATTTCTATAAGTTATTGAAAACTGTTAAAAGGGTTTTTTTCTTCAGCACAGCCGGGAAGAAGCTATTTATTTATTTTATTGTTATTTTTATTATTCTCTTGAATTGAATTATCTACAAAAAGAAATTAAAAAATTACGTATAAATATATTATATTGATATGTATTGTAAATATACGAAATGTTTAAATTTTTTTTCCGTAGTATTGTTTTTACTTATCATATTATTGTATATTATTCTTATAATTTAAGATGTCTTTAAAATTATAAATTGCTACGTTTTGTGATAAGCCTAGAAGTATAATTTTACCATTATTATATTAAAAAATTTCAATTTAATGATTGATTTCTAAGTTAAGGTAATAACTGCATAAAAATATTTTTTTTCTTCTAACAACTACTATAATTAAAAACGCTTGGTTATTTTATTATGAGCATAGTATTTTGTTCGTTTTTACCTTGAAGTCTTCTGCTGAACATCTCCACAATGCGTGCAAGTTTGCTGAGGCCTAAAATTTTGTTTTTTGGCAAATATCCAATTGAAACTTTTCCGTAAAACGGAACTAAATGATGTTCACACATACTAAACATTTCAATGTCTTTCACCACAACCATTTCATCGTGATCCTCGTCAAATACCGCATCGTTAAGTACGTCTAAAACATATTTATACAATAATATAAATTAAATACTGATAAAATATAAAAAATATATTTTTAACACAAAGAAAATGTCATAATTTATGTAATTTTTTATTTGTAGTATTCATAATTTAACTTGAAAGGTAATTTTAAACGTTCTCAGCATATAATTAATTATTTAGATCACTACGACCAATGCCATTTTACTTATATATATAAAAAAAAAAACATGAATTTATTATAAAATAAACTCTCAAGCAAATTAAATAGTTTCAGTTATTTGTATGGGAGTTTTTTTTTATTTTGGGTGAAGGCAAAACACAAGGACTCTTCCTGAAAACATATCATCTTCGTTAAATTATGATTGATTTTTAAGTGGTAATTTCTAATTACATTTACTGGTTGTTACTGGTTTGAAAACTTTTTGATTTAATAATTATTGAAATAATATAATATTACATTTTCTATAATTAACATTAAATTAAATTTTTAATATAAATATATTCTATATTCTATTATAAATATATTCTATATTCTATCATAAATAGGTATAACACTGTACACATACATGAATTCCTAGTCGTCAATTATCTGGTAAGGATTGTTAGAAAAATTAATAATTTAATTAATAATTTAAAAATTATTTTTAAATAATAGATTTTTAATATAAATATATAGTAGTATCTTTAAATTTGCTTTCAGTAAAACCTTTATAAATTACACAGTTGTACTATGGATAATGATTGTATTCGGATCACGTTAAAAATTATTTATATAAGACCTTCAGAATACAGTTAATATTATTAAAAATATAATTTATTGGAATTTTTAGGTGTGACTTTAACGATGAATAAGCAATATAAGAAAAGCTTATATCACCATCTCCATGGATTACTTACAAAAGTATTAATTATAAACTGTAGTTTATTATTGTAATTGACAACTTGTAATCATAATATCGCATATTAATCTAATTAAACTATATTTCGTAAAAACGAATGTTTATTTTGAGTTATACCGAATGGAAAATATTCTGTGAAAAGTTAATCTACTCGTTGAACATTGTATAATATTATTCCCTGTTGTCTCCTTTTACTAACGCACATAACGTAGTAAATMTTATCTTAAAAATGATTCATATTATATAGTATGTATTTTTTTAAAATATTATAGAGTGCGAATTAACTTATTATTAATTAAAACATCAAGTGAGCATATTATGTTTTAATTATGAAGCAAATTTTAAAATGTTTATATCTCGTTTTAAAATCATACATAGGGCCCAAGATATTATTCTTGCCTTTTATTCACTTTAATACTAAAAATAATAAAACAAGTAAACCGCATTATTCTGAACTTAAAATTTGCTATTCTGAGTGTTTGTGAGACATGCGTGGGCAAAACATAGTTCTCTTAACATTAGATCGAAGAAGGGTATTAAAACTTAATCCAAAATCACTAAACCCATTATACGCGTGAGAACCACGAGTGATTAGAAGTAAATAATATACGTGACCTGGAATTATACGATACTGAGATGATGGATATTAAAAGTTTGTAGTTAGGTGAAATATATAGGTACATAATGTATATTATGATAGATTCAAAGCATATAACTATGGTGGTTGAGTTTAACATAGAAATAGCCACCTTTGAATGGAATTTATTAATAAAGTCATACATTTTTACACCTAATAATTAATAACAATACTTAATAACCTTAACTCTGCTGGGATAAAGTTTTTTTTWAAATGATTTTTATGTCCAATTAAATTACGTTACCCCTTTCTTTGGTAAATTTAAAAATGCTTCTGTTGTGTATAATTTATTATTGCCTGACATAAAAAAAATTGTTTGAAAACGTCTAAAAATCTTTGAAACGAGATCTACCCTACAGCACAACAAGCATATTAATTTAATTTAATATAAAAAAATTGTATGGTCCATCTTAAGTTTCACTATTTAGAAGTCCTAAGTAGCAGTACACTTAATGAAAATGCAATAAGTAGATAATGCGAGCAATGCATCTTGAGTAAAAAACGTAAAAAAAAAACTGTTATTTTTATTTTTATTTATTAGGTATCTTATATAATTGATGATCAATCACATCTTATTAGCTACTAGCCTTTATTTTGACTCCAATCATTGGTGACTTTTGTACGTAGGATTTTCACTGCATTAGTTAGTTTTAAGCTTAAGCTAATCACCTTTAGTTTCTTGGAAAATCAATAATTGTCTAAAATATTGGATTCAAAAATGCATGCCAGAGGTATAATATTACAGTTTAAACTATATTATAATTACTTAAAATCCATTTATTGTGCGAGAGCTAAGATTTATATTATGTCATAAGTTATTACGAACAGCCAACAGCCACGATAAAATGTTTGGATTATTAAATATTTATTTTAAAAATGCAATTTTAAAATTTTCTTATTAAATTGAGTCTTAAGTATATAATCATTTATGTTTCACATATATTTTATAAATTACATATACTTTAAATATACAATACAATTAAAAAGTATAAGACTTTGTTGGTCTTACTAAAGTGACATCATGTTCAGTGAATCCAAATATAAAATGTATTCCTATTTCAATAATAATACATAAGTATTATTTAAGTCTTAGAAACTTAAAAAAATAATGAACTTTATGGATGGTTATTGATATTTGAATTCATGTAGGTATGTATAGGTCCCATCCGTTCTTAGTTTTTTTCTGGCAATGAAAAAATGTGTATAGGTATAGGTACTTATAGCTAAAACACAATTTCACTATAATGAAAATATGTTACAGGAATGTCTATAGAAAATGTATTTATTTTAATTAAATTACAAAATTTAATATTGTACATAATTTATTATTCTTTGTGAAAACACCAATATTTAATTTTTTTTTACTAAAATTAATCAAATCTTTAAATCATAAATTATTTTACTTTTTATTTAAAAGGAATCAAAATATATGATTTTGCCATGTTTGAATTTAATTTAGTTCTTAACGATAATTAATTTTTATTCTTTAACGTGTAAGAATCAAAATAAACGATTTGGTAGTTGGAAAAATTTGATGTTTTTTTAAATATTATTTATTGTAAAAACCAATTGAATTTAAAAAAAATTGTTTTATCCATCATTAGGTTTTTGGTATAAAATAGTTGTGATAACACTGATAACTGTATTGTTTGTGCTTTGAAATAAAAAAAAATTGTTGTCACACGGTTTCATTATACTGGTCATCATGGCGGATATACGTAGGTACTTACTGCTTTGGGTGCATCTACAAACTATTCTACGTTAAATGTCATCGGCAGATAACGCGTTTGAAGCTGTACCCAGAAAAGGTAATTGGTACCCTTTGTGCGGGCACTCAAAGCCAGCAATGATAAAACATGATTTAAATATGAAATATACGGAACAAATTACAAAATTGATGCCTGTTAGAATTTGCTGCAAAATATTAAAAGCATAATAATATGTACCTACTCACGAAGTGTTTGAATTCGAGTATATCCACTGTGAAAATAGGTTGGGATACAACGAAATATCATACTTTAATATAAATGAACTCTAAAAACTAATACGAAACAGCGTACTACACAAAACGTATGTACTTAAATTAATTAATATAACATAATACGGGTACTAATTTTAAAATGTATGGTAAGCAGATATCATTCAATCATCGGTGTATTATTTTTATTTTTTTATGTATGAAAGGATTATGATATTTTAAGTGTCATTATGGCATAATATGATCTATTACATACAAATAAACTTTTTTTTTTTACTTAAACAACATTTTAAAATTTTATATATATTATATACATAAAAATAATATGTTTAGTTGTAGTTTTAATTGATAACCATTATGGTTAATGTTTGTTATTAAAAAACTAATCAAACAAATGATTGAATACAACATTAGTTTAAAATAAATCATCTATAATATCAATCATTTGAGTTGTTTCATTTGTTCTAATATAATGTATACGCATCTATATATTATGTTTTTAATATGTTTTTATTATTAATAAGTTTTCTTTTATTTAGATAAGTATCCATATAGCTTAAAATAATAACGTAGAATAGTACGTTATAGGAATCGAGTATAAACCAAATAAAATTTAATAACCATGTTAATTATTGTATTGACACATATAAATATTGTTGATTTGGCTTTGTGATTTCAATAAATTGTAATTATTCGTTGATGCATGACTGGTAATTAATAAAAATAAATGTACATGTCTGATGATAATAAAAAAAATAACGATACGTATATTGATTACAATATCCTCACAATTATTGACTTGTTATAAACATATTATGTACGTAATATAATATCGTTAACACAAATCGCCCCTCCAATACCCGTGGCATATATATTTTTTAAAGCGGATAGTGGGGAAATGGGGTATGGCATTCAATCAGAACGTCGGCAACCACTTGTAACCGGACCAGTATTGTACAATACCTCAAAAGTACGATGATTTAAAAGCTTTTCCGTCCCATTATAGAAATGACGGCAATTTTCAATTTGCTGTTGCCAAGGGAACAATGCGTAGACGGTTTATCAGTATTATCGGGTCGATATGTACGTATATTATTTAAAAAAATACTTAAGGACCAATAAAGTACATTATAGCCCGACAATGTAATCGCTGTCGAACAAGTAAGTAGTTGAATTTTAGTAGGTTTTTATCTTAAAATGTCAATTTAATATTTTTGAATTGACAAATCTTCAATTTCATCAATAAATCATATAATATAGTGTACGAAATTACTTAGTGTATCGTTTAACGGTATAATGACTATAATGTATATAATGTATAAATGATTTTGCACTCGAAATTATTAGAMCTTTTATACAATAACGTCCAACTCACACACGTGTGCTATTGAACATTATTATGTGATATAGCCCGAAGTGTTACATTGATTTTTATCTAATGAAAATTCAGAGAAAAACATAAACGATAAAATAAATTGACATACTTCCCGAGGCATTTC